CTGGAACGTCCGCAGCATGACGTCGGACGCCGAACTCGGTGCTAACATTGTCGACACGACGCACGTCCAGGACGGGTCGATCACGGTCGCCAAGCTCGCGCGGGACTTCCGCATCGCCAAGTTCAGCGAGCTCACAGGCTTCTCGGTCGACTTGTCCAAGAAATCGTTTTTGGCCGCCGCCGATGCCTTGGACGCGTATGCCAAATCGGCCGACGGCTGGATCAAGCACTACAACTTGTACGAGAAGCCGTTTTGGGTCATCTTCCGCGACGTCATGAAGCACCTCGTCGACGGTGACGGTCGCTGCTCCAAGCTTGAAGACGGCGAGATCGACGAGTGCCAGAACCTTGAGTGGCTCGCCACGCAGCCGCGGGTCGTTCAGGTCACGTGCGAGTGCCAGCGCAGCAACTTTTCCGTCTTCAACTGCCCGGCCATGACGGCGTACATGCAAATGGAACAGGGAGCGATCGAGTCGACGACGCTTGACGCCAATTAATGCGTGAACAATACTCCAAGTCTGGATACTTGACACTCTGTGTTGATACCAAGAGCTCAAACCTATTCAGTCACAGACAGCACACGGTCTTGATACCCGCGCAATCTGGGTAAAGGTGCCACCCACTTGGCGGTCCAAGCCCCCAGTGACAGCATTTTCAGCGCCATCGCGCTACCACGATCGATTTCGCGCTCCCAAGCCAAAGAACTCGATACGCTCAGCAAAGCCGAACAGGAAAGTCGAGCCAACGTACAACTAAAGTGCGACCTTGTCCAGCCTCAGCGCGACGAACGACCTCCGTTTCGTTATCAAGCCAAAACGTAGGGTAACTTAGATACTGCACCCCTGACAAGGTACCTACTCACTGGGCAATCTACCCGACGGATATATCATTTCACGTGGTGGCCAGCACGTCCCGAGCCTTTTTCGAAATTGACGGTAACCCGCATTCCTCGGATAGATTTAAACTCACGCCAGGATTCGCAACCGACAATTTTGTGTCAGTTGTGGATTCTCGATTGACTGAGCATGCGACCCCGCGCGGTTGTGCTCACGCTTTGCGCCGCGCGCGCGACCGGGTTCGTCACGTGCACGCGGTCGACGTCGCTCACCGATATCTTTACCAACTGGTGCATTTGCCAGCCGTGCAACCTCTGCAGCTACAAGCTCTTTCAAGGCTGCGACGTGCTTCTGACCAACGCGATCTCGCAATCTGACGGCTCGGACATTCCGACGCGCCAGCCGCTCTTGGCTTCGAGCGACTGGTTCCTTTCAACCGACGAGATTACGAACGCGCGTGGTGGCATACCGCGCACGTTGCTCGCCACGAGCTCGTCGGGCAACTTTGTGCACATCTTTGCCGACACGAGCAGCACGTTTGCCGCGATCCATGAAGATCTTTTGACTGCAAACGCTGCGTACTTTACGAGCTGGACGCTCGGCAACGTCCCGTATCTGCCGCAGGTAGATCCCTCCATCACGTTCAAGTCGACGTGGAGCACGGCGATCACGGCCAATGGCCTCAGCGCGCACGGGCTCGTGTGGTCCAATGTCCCCGAACTCGCCCGCGTCACCGACATGTATGCGTGGATGAATTCGTTGTCGCCGTCGAACGGTACGCGCGTCCAGCTCATGACGGACGACCGTGTCACGTCGATCACGGGCTCGCTGCACCAAAAGAGCTTGGTGCTGACCCGCGGCAATCAGCTCTGGGCGTACGCCGGCGGGATGGACCAGACGTTTGATCGATGGGACACCAAGTACCATAACGAGTCGGCATTGCGCCAAGCCGCCCAGATCAGTACCAACAACAACGGCTGGATCGATACCCACACGCGCGTGCTCGGGCCGGCGGCGGTCGATATTTTACACAATTTTTTGGACCGGTGGAACGACCCTAAACCGCCTGGTCCAGCGCTCGGGCCACCGTTCGTGACGCCGCCAACGCCGCTGCAAGCTTCGTGGAACGTGCCGCAAACGTTCTT